CAATCCACTGAAGATGGTCGGGTTTAAGGACTAAACAGGTGAGGAGGAAAAAATAGTCAATGAAAATATGCAAACCCATTCAGAAAGTCTGCTGAGCTACTAAAGAAAAAAATTAGCATGCATTATTAACATGACAAACTTTATATGTGAGAAATGGCTAACTAAACTATTAAAAGTGCGAAATATGTATGATTGGTGTTTGTTATACAAACTATCAGGTCTTGGAATCTCCTGTACTTTTTTTTTTATCTTAAAAAAATATGACACATTTGTAGATTTCTATAAGCACAACTAAAATTTCTAAAACGTGTCATGACAGGCTATATTTACTGAATCATACAATGTCGGGTGAGAATAGAATATGAAACATTTATGCACTATCATCAACATGCCAAGCTGGTGATCTAAAAAAAAAATAAAATAAAATCATGTTAAATTATTTCAGATCTTTTTACACCCTTAATGTGACAATATGCTGCTTTTCCACGGCTCTACTTGTCCTGACTCTGCTTCAGGACACCAATTTTCAAACATTTCAATTCATGGCTTGCTTTTTTTGTGTGTGTTTCCTGGCCCTGCTCAGCAGTAGGTGCGATCAGAGATGAGTAGGGATGAAAAAAGCCCGTACCTGTAATGAATAGCAGAGAGATTGTGGTGTTTGAAGAGCTGGTTGAAAAAGATTAAAGTAAAACCCAAAGGAATCCACAATAACTTTGTTGCAAAAGTGTTCCCTTAATTTTTAACTTTGTTTAAAAAACGCATATATTGAATAATGCATATTTTGAAGATTTGGAAAAAAAAAAAACATAAATTTTAATTCTCTGTCATTGATTAAATACAAAGTATAAACTAATTACTACTTATGCTGATTTACATGTGAGAGCTAGGCAAGGCAAGGCAAATTTATTTGTATAGCACAATTTAGTACAAAGATATGGCAAAGTGCTTTACATGATTAAAATACAGGAAGATAAAACAGAATCATAGCAAGTAGGAAAATAAATAAATAAAAATAGAAAAAAAAGGCAGAAACAAAAAGGAATATTAAAAACAGTTGGACTAAAGAAAATAAAAAAGTTGAACTGTTTAACTAGAACAGTCGAAGGCAATCCTAAACAAATGTGTTTTTAGTCTTGATTTAAAGGAACTCAGGCTTTCCACACTTTTACAGTTTTCTGGAAGTTTGTTCCATATATGTGGAGCATAGGAACTAAATGCTGCTTCTCCATTTTTAGTTCTGGTTCTAGGTATGCAGAGCAGGCTGGAGCAAGAAGACCTGAGTGGTCTGGAGGGTTGATACACTTATAGCAAGTCTGTGTTGTATTTAGGTGCTAAGCCATTCAGAGATTTATAGACTAACAGAAGTATTTTAAAGTCTATTCTCTGAGATACAGGGAGCCAGTGTAAGGACTTTAGAACTGGGGTGATGTGCTCTACTTTCTTAGTCTTAGTGAGGACATGGGCAGCAGCATTCTGGATCAGCTACAGCTGTCTGATCCACTTTTTAGGCAGACCTGTGAAAACACCGTTGCAGTAATAAATTCGACTAAAAATAAAGGCATGGATTAGTTTTTCCAGATCATGCTGAGACATTAGTCCTTTAATCCTGGAAATGTTCTTCAGGTGATAGAAAGCCGACCTTGTAATTGTCTACTGTATCTCCTGCTGGTAAAGAAGTGAGATGAAAATTTCTTAAGCAGACGATTCTGACAGAAGAAAGTGGTCTGGCCTAAAAAAAACAAAACTTAGCTTTTAGCCTTAATTCCAAATTGTATGTTTTGGAACTGAAACGGCACTGCACCTCAGCCAACGAATACTATACTTTAAGTTTAACATGGTGTTGCCATTATTTAGCTGCTATGGATTAAAGTAACTGTCCATTTTAAAATCCACTGCAAAAAGGAACGCTACCACAGGTCATTTATACGTGCTGCCATCAGACTTTACAATGCGGCACAACTGCAAAATCTTCTGATTTAACTTATGTGCAATCAATATTTATTTAACAACCTGTGCAAAAATCCTGTTAAATAAGACACTCCAGCTGTTTTATATATATTTATAGATATAGATATGTTGCTCCTTTTGGAATATGTTGGACGGCTGCTCAGAAGCACAGAGGTCTTTCTGCATGGAGTTTGCATGTTCTCCCTGAGCGCGTGTGGGTTCTCTCCAGGTACTCCGGCTTCCTCCCACAGTCTAAAAACATGACTGTTAGGTTAATTGGCTTCTATGAATTCTCCTTAGGTGTGAGTGTGTGTGTGTGTGTGTGTGTGAATGGTTGTTTGTCTCTGTGTTGACCTGCAATGGACTGGCAACCTGTCCAGGGTGAACCCCGCCTCTCGCCCGTAGACAGCTGGAGATAGGCACCTTGCGACTCCACTTGGGATTAAGCATGTCCGAAGATGGATGGATGGTTCCTCCTTTTGGCATCTTTTTTTGACCATTGAGCCCATTTCACAAGTGAATTTCTTCACTTTGAGATCAATAAAGTCTATCCCAATCCAACTAAAAAACAAATAGATTTTTTTCAGCATAATGAGTGCGCATGAATTCATCCAAATTAAAGACAGAATAGTTTCATGAGAACCCATCCCCATCATTGCTGCAGCTACGCTACAGGTCAGCTTGCTGAAGCTTTTTATAATATCTATACCGCCATTCTCACAGCAAGACTTTAGAGGTTTTGGCAAACTTCGTGTGAAATTAGTCATTTTTATTTTTAAGTCTACAGTTGTATAGAAAACTATAATTCCTTTTATTTTAGGCTAATCTTCAATGTGAAATAAATTCATTCTTAGCCATTCTTAAAAGGGCAACTTTGCTCCTGGAGAGTCTTTTTTAAAGCTTGACCAGTGAAGATCCAACACACAGCTGAGCAAATGAACTGTAATTTAGGAATCAGGTTGCCTCTGAAATGAGCTGTCTCTGTACTTCCCACTTTCGCTGTGAGTTTCTCACAGCCTTTGATGATATATCTCTTATTTTTTTTGTGGACTTCCCTAACTGGAAATTCACAATTGTCTCTGTGTGAGATGAGTGCTCTTTATCTCTTCATCTGCATCTTTCATAGAGAAATTATGCGCTCAGCAGCTTTGGGCTTTTATACCCATGAGTCCCATCGTGAAAACATGAACACTGAGGTGAAACTGGCAAACAAACAGGAAGCAGGCAGCTTGTGTATCACTAATCATCTGCTTTTCTCTGTAGCACCTCCTCACTTTGGCTTATGTCTATCTTGTTTTGGGTGTAGGAAATAAAAACAGACCTCTGCGGGGGGTGGGGGGTTGAGATGCGCAGCTATTACCGTCAGGAGCTGCTGACTCAGCTGTCTGAGGAAACGACTGTCACCTTTCTGTTTTGGCCAGCAGCCAATCAAACACCAGAATCAGGCCACATCTGTTTAGAGGGGGTTGCATGTCTGACAAAGAGAGCATGACTGCTACTAAAAAGGATCGCTTTTTATTTAGGTTTCAGAAGATGATGTAATTAACGCTTTTGTCACAAATGGTTAGTCAATAGAAACCAAACTTTTTAAGACTCAGCAGGCAGTCTTTGAGAAATAATGTCAGTAATATAATATAAAATAATGATAATAAGATAATTGTATTTTATTTCTGTTACAGTTTTTCAGGCTTCTTTTTAATTCCTAGATTATTTATTTGTGTTAGGGTAATGTTCTTAAAATGACCCAATTTATGCTGTCCTTTTGATATATCTGTAAAAAGGACTAATGATAGACAAGCTGCTCATTAACACATATTACCCTCCTCACTTAAATAATTACTTTTCCTTTTCATCTGGAGGTGATGAGAATTTTATCCACTGTTTTAACATCTTATGCAAACATTTTAAGATTCAGCACCTTTAACATTTGTGAGATAAAAGACTGAAATCATGCAAATGATCAGACTTTTTTTTTTTTTTACATAAAGCTCCATTTAAGGCCTTCTCCCTGATTCTAGACCGTGAGTGTTCAAATTAATTTTGTAGATGTATTTTTATTTTATATATTGTCCCTTCAGCAACTGTATTTGTAATATTGATATAAAAAAAACACAACAATTAGACTTAGACAACATTTATTGTTATTTTGCATAATTATCATATATAAAAAGATGTAAATACAACTTAATTGATTTCACAATGAAGAAATTAACTTCCTGCATCTAACCCATCTCCTTTGGGGAGCAGTTGGCTGCCACTGTGCAGCACCCAGGGAGCAATCGAGGGTTAAGGGTCTTGCTCAGACAGTTAGAGTGGCAGTCTGTGGGAGTGGGTTTCAAACTCACAACCTCAGGATTCCAAGCCCTATACTCTAACCACTAGGCCACCACTCCCCTACATTATATGATATTGTATATTTTGTAAAATTACCTATCTTCAACCTAAAAAGCTAATTTTTTCCTTGGGTTCCTACGAGACAAACAATGACAACAACAAAGAAAAAGAACAAAGAACAAAAAACAAGAACAACAACTAATGAAAGCAACATAATTGAATATTTATAGAAAGAAAGGCAGTTCAATTATTTTCAGGGTGAAATGCCAAATCTTAGCACTAGGGGGCGCCGCTGCATACTGTTGATTGAGCCGACTGGAGAGAAGTGAAAATTTGCCACTTGTATCTCAGCAGATCACATAAAATATTACTTTTTCCACTAATACAATTGTTATTATATATATGCTTTCGGCATAGCGCTCAATAACAATGCAAACTTTTTTTTAAATTTACTTTTGACAGGTTATTATTTAGTCATGCGTCGTAGCCATGCAATAAAACTTTAAAACCAAACTCAAATAAAGCGCCTTAATATAAGCTTTTTATGCATTTTATACAGAAAGCACACATATAATAAGTGAACATTTTATTATGTGCTGACACGAGGTTAATAACTAACATCAGGCTGCCACTTCTCGACAGTTCAGTCATCAGTGATCCGTAGAAACCGTCAGACGTAGAGAGAACCGCCGGAAGTGGGCGGCGTGTCAGAGGCAGGCAGGCAGACAGACAGACGTACAGACAGACAGAGAGCCGTGGACTGTACGGCGAACTGTTGGGAACTGACTAACGGAGAAATTCCTGCCGGAGGCTGATCACGTCGCTGTAGACTCTCCCCCACATTTTATGAAAAAGGAAAACAACTTTCGTCGCTCCACAGAGGTGAGGGACGCCGTTTATTTTTATTTGATTTTTTTTTTTTAATTCTCATTTGATCGCGTTTTCTCTGTTTATCTGAGGAGGAGACAGACGTCCTCGCTCTGCGCCCCTCGCTTTCTTTTGACGCTCTACGTTGCGAAATGATATTCTGACAGCGCTTTGTAAACAAAGTGCGACAGCGCGTCTCCATCTGGAGACGCAGCCTCCGCGCGCCTGGAAGAGGCTGCGTTTGGGTTTGTTTATGGGCCACTTTCGCTCCTCTCTGCTCGCTGAATCAACAGGCAGGTTCTCCTGAGAGCTCATATCCCACTAACACGTCCTGTCTATAAGCTCAGCGCCTGGAAACGCGCAGCCAGTCAGTTTACTGTCACCTTATCCTGCCTCAGCTGGCATATTTCTATCACTCTAACGACTTTATCATCTTATAAAGTATCATTATCAAGCTTCATCTTGTCTAATTATACAACAGGAGGATATGTTTGCAATTTATTTTTCTATTATCAGTCAAAAACTTTTTATTTTGTATTATTGGGCACCTTCACAACTCCAGCGGACTCCATTATAGGGGGCGTCAGATATGAAGATGAAATATGAACATAGAGCTGCTCCATATGCGGCGCACTAATGTGATCTCTGCAGTCAAGGGCAGGCTTCAAAAGTAGCTTTATTGCTGTCACCCTGTTGCCTCTTCTTAGTTCTGCTAAAACACTGTTTCAGTCAGTGGCGTTTCTAGACAAAAATATACCAGGGGGCCAGGTGGCGTGTTTCCATGGGGGCCCAGAAAAGCATGAAATAAAAAAAAACAGGGCAAGGGATTCAAATATTTTAAGATAGCTGCATGAAGTGAAATTTCTATTCAATTAGACATATAATTAAAATTCTGTCCTATTAGGTCAATAAACTTTCATAATTTAGGAATTTTACATATTTTTTACTTGATTTAAGTTAAAATTACAGTTTTCTATAAAACCTGAATTACAACTCAAGAAAAACTGATAAATTCAGCCGCCCATGGTTTCAGTAATAATCTATGCATTATAAATAAAACTTTAATATAATATTTTTGATAGAACTATTCATAACTATTATCTAACATGGGCAGTTCTAGACAGGGGCCAACGGGGGCCAGTGCCCCTGTTATGGCCCCTGTACTAAAGACATAATACCAAGAGAAATTCTAATGATGGTATGCGCTGGAGCAGACATGGTTTCTGATCGGTCCTTTGGATCTATTTCATTTTTTTTTCTTTAAAAAATTCTGTTTTACTAATTACTTAAAAAAACAATAAGGGTACAGCTTCAGTGATATTGAGATAGGATCCCAGTCATCCGCTGTTGTTTTTTTTTTTGTTTTTTTCAAAACAAATTTAAAAAAATACTCTAACTTTTACAGCTGAATTTCTCAGTTTTTCTTAAGTTCTAATTGAGATTTTATAGAAAACTATAATTTTAACTTAACTTAGGTTAAAAATATATAAAAGTCCTAAATGATGAGTTTATATTGACCTAATATTCCAAATAATAGCTTTATTTGATCTTTTTTTCTGTATTTATATAGCTACAATTTCTTGAGTTGATTTTTTGCTATGCTAAGGGATTTTTATTTTGATTTTAACGATAATCCAAATGAAAATTTTTTGAGCCAAAAATAAATATTTTCAGTTAGAAGATATATAGTTTTAATTAAACTTAATTGAAGTAAATTCACTCCATGCAGCTCTTTTAATATATTTGAATACCTTGCCTGTTTTTGCTTCATGCTTTTCTGTGCCTCCATAAAAACATGCGCCCCCCACCCCCATGTCCATTTGGTCTAGAACCGTCACTGTGTGTATCTGGTATCTATACACATTAATCTTTAAGGAGGTTACTGGTTCAAAATAGGTGAAATATCCTATTGTTTTATGTTCTTTGAATTGCATGTCTGAAAAAGTGAATAATTGGGCTGCTCCTCCCCCACATGTTGCTGCATGACACTGAACAGGTGGTTGTGAGAGAGAGAGAGAGAGAGAGAGAGAGAGAGAGAGTTTCTGCGTATTGTTATGTCTAAAATAAAAAAAGATTTCGTTATTTCGTGTTTTGCAAGATGACGTCTTTCTTTTTAAGAATAATCACAAATAACAGCTTTGCATCAAACTTTTTTTTCTTTTCTAAAACTTCAATAATTTGATTCAAGGTTGTGATACCATGCGGACCTCAATTCCGGCTTATTTCAAACCAAGTTTTGTTTTCTTTGTTTAATCTTGATTATTGAAATTCAGATGTTTGAGACAGAGAACAAAAGCTAATGATTTTCATTGTGTTAATGGTTTCATCTCTGTCAGCCTCATTATGTTGCAACAGAGATCCCTCCTTGTCTGTTTGCACCTTTTAATTGAAAAGATGGCAAGGGTAAAGAGTGTAAAATGGCTCGTAAAAGAAAACAAAGATGCCAAGTGCGACTGGTGAGCGAAGACTTTGGCACTGGTGCCAGCTCACAAACGCGGTCTGAAATGTCAAGCTTGCTTTGAAGTTTCTGCATCATGTGCAAGAAAACCTGCTCTCTAAGTGAGCCTGTGCACTTGTTTTTATTTAACATTATTTCTCCCTGATATATATATATTTTTTTTGTTCTTGTTTTTGTTAAACCTGATTAATTTTGCTTTGTGGTGCAGCTACAATCCGAACAGCATTGCTTTGCAGCATTTAAGTAATAAATAGGGGTTTCCTCTCATTACACGGCAGAGAGAACATTTTGTGTTTGTTTCAGACAAACACAAACAAAAACTCAATCAGCACCAATAAGCACAGAATTCATTATCATTCCAGTTGGAGCTAGTGAGTTTCATATGTTTGTCTTTCACTGCAGTTTGCACAGGTTGCAAAGGCAGTTTAAGTTATTTACATTTTTGGTGTGTCTTTATAGAGTTTCACTGTGACTGCAATCTCTACAAAAGGATGTTCTCTGCTTTCAGTAGCATTTAACCCTGTTGGCAAGCACCATTTTCCCCTTTCGCTGCGGTACACAGTGCAAAGGGATGTAGAGTTTTCATTGGTCTCTGCTCAAAAAAAAAAAAGGTTGATATGGGAACATGGCTTGCCTGACTGACCTGAGTTGACTGGCACATTCTGTCCCTGCCAGCAAGATCCAGATGAAGGAGGAATAGCAGCAAAAAAAGGACAAGCTCATTTGTTACATGTGCTCACAGCATGTCACGTCCTTTAGTTTCTAAGTGCTTCTCACTTTTTAAACTGGCCTCTGTCAAACAAGCGCTGGAGCCAGAAAAGCTGGAAAAGGCGGAACATTTCCATCACTTTAGAGGGAGCGCTTCTCATTGCGAAGCATAACTTAATAAGGATACTTTTAGAAACATTTATGTTTTTATTTTTGTACTCTAAGCTGCTCTGATGCTACTCATGTCCCACATTTGAATACTTTCAAGTGGATCGCTACTAGATGTGTTTCTGTTGTGTGAAACAGCATGAAGGTAGCAGATTAAAGCAAAGGTTTTGATCTGACTGGGCTATGAGTCATGTGTCAGAATCAGTAATGCCTGTCTTCACTGTCGTGGTGCTTCTTGTTGCTCAGTGTTGCTTTTTAAGAGGATGGACATCATCTCTTCCACAGAGGTTCCTGTGGGAAGGGCAAGCAAAAAGTCCTATGATATACATATATGTTCTTTTGGAGAAATAACACTGAAACAGAAAGGGAAAGATACTTAAGGGGAAGTGATAGGGAAGCATGTGGCGCAATGCACACCAACCTCCTCCCCCTTTTCAGTTGGGCTAATACTAATCCACTGGTCATGTGACCTAGAGCTTTCTAGGCCAGGAGTGCTCTGATCCATCTGTCAAATAAGGTTGCTGATTGTTGGTATCGTGTAAACTGCTGTCCAATGACCTCTACTTGCTCTGAGTGAAACTTTTCTTTGATTTCAATGAGTTAAATAAATTCTCGTTTTTCCTTTTCTATGAGATTTAACCCCCAGCCTTCTCTGTGTCTTCTTCTTAGTTGGTTCTTCTTCTGTAAAAACTTCTGCCTTATTTTAGCCCAAATCCCTGCTGACTATGCAGGTTTGGGTTGTTAAGGAGGGTGACTACCATCCCTCACAGTCACAAGTTTTTCACCATAAATGTCTCAAACATGGATCCTTCTTTTCACTTGCTTTAATTAAATGGCGTGAAACGGGAAGTTGAGCAAAGTTCAAGTTCTGGTCAATCTATACTAGACGGAAAGTTGATTCCTCTGCTTTGGACTTGTGTTTTCTACACATCTCATCAAAAACTTAACAAGAACTTAAGTTAGTTGTTTATTTTCTTTCCAAATACCCAATAAATGTTGCTTTTTGTTAGATTTGTATCTAATGGGCCAGTTTTAAGTTTGATAAAGATGTCTTCACATACACAGCATACACATAGTCTATAGGATATGTTTTATTAGTGGATTTTTTAATAAGATATTTATCCAAAATGTATTAAGAAGGCTACTCTTGATAACCAATGGAATTATGGATTAGAATAGGATAAAATGCAATTGAGTTAAACTGAACTGAAACAGACCTGTCAGTGGTAATGCTAATACCCTAGAGGTAAGCACTAGACAACATATATTTATAAAAAAAAGAACAACAATCTAAATGTTTAAATTGAAATACACTATGCAGCAAAAATTAATATATTAAGAAATAAATCTCAAGATTGAGTCATACTTCATTTTTCATACATCACTCTGTGGGGAAAATTTTGGAGGAATAAACAAAATAAAAAGGGAGGGACCCTTAAAAAAGTGCAGTCAGTGCATTGAAAAACAATGCAATTATGGATGTTGAGTTTATAGTAAAGTAAAACTGAATCGTAATATTTGAAAAAGTCTCAGTTCAAAAAGCTGAAGAGTTCACATTCACAGTTTTGTTTTGCATTCTAGATACTATGACATCGTGGGTCATGACTTGGCATAGGTGACCGACTGGCCTACTTTTCAGTTGGTGTTCTTGTCATGCAAAGATGCTCTATAAGTCAAATTG